TGCATGCACTTTGATATATTTCTATCCTGCAAGGGTCTGGGGGTGGGGGAGGGTGGGGGAGGAGAGCTTAGCTGACTCCCCTAACCCCCTCTAAAAGTGTATCTTTGTGAAGTTATTTGATTTAGTGACGATTGGAACATAATGGAGCCTTGATACTTGGGCTTGAAATCTTTTTCTTCCTATTTTCAATCCTTGGCCATCCTTGGAGTTGTTTTTCTTCGTGCAAAGGTCTCTGATGGTGCGGTGGGAAAGGAGTTACGCACTCATTGATGAAATGCTGGACGTATACTAAACTGAGCAAATTGCAGAGAGAGCTCCCTCCAGGAAATCACCAGCCCCAACTTTAAAGACCCGAGATCAAAGCCGGATCCTGACGTAACTTTACCTGCGTTTTGATATATCAAAAGGGAGGCTGTGAGAACAGGGCCTTCCTCCCGTGGTCAGCACGCCACACCCTTTGCAAAGCTTCTGTACAGTAGTTTATAATTATGAATTCCAACACGGGCAGAAGTGAGGTAGCGGTGTGAGCTAATACCGCCTAGGACATAAAAGATCTGTCAGCAACTGATGCAAAAAAAAAAAAAAAAGAAAAAAAAGAAAGAAAGAAAAAGTCCAGCCCAAAATCTTTTTTTCTATCTCCTCGGCATTTAACAATAGGAATTTAAGCCTCAATGTGGCTCCAGCGACCAGAGAAAAGAAGCTCTTAGTGTCTGCATAATACCACTTTGATGGATTTTTTTTCATCAGTTCTCTGTACGTGGCAACAAATAAACAAGTATAATTATACTTGTGAAGGCTATTCAGTGCTTTGTCAGGATTAGATATATGTGCCGTTTCACACTGCACCTCCCTTTTGTCTTTGCCTAACTCACTATGACATATTGATAGAGGATTTGGACTGGGGAAAGGCCACAGCAGAGACAGTGATGACCTTTTGGAAACTTGATATAATTCAAGGATTTTTATTTATTTTCTTTCTTTTTCTTTTCTTTCCTTTTTTTTTTTTTTTTTTTTTAAGAACTTGTTACCAAATACCAAATTCTCTGCTACGAGGACAGGTTTTAACCCATTTCAAAGGGAGTCCGTGAAGACTCAGGGAGTTAGAGAGGGCTCAGGAGCAGAGGAGAATAAAAACAATATGCGGAATCCCTTGTTTCTTCCCAGCACTTTGCAGAGTGGCTAACCTAGCCTTGCTGGCCGGTTCTTCAGGCCCCCTTCCTCAGACCACGTTCTTTTCCATCATTTCACAAACACTGTCTCACTGGACGCGAGAGGAGGGCTGAGACAATCTCAGCTAAAAGACAGAGGTAACACTGGCCTCCCGGATTTGGGGTTCTGATGGGAACTCTGCTTCCTGAATGCAGAGGAATTCTTCCATTGTGCAGCAAGCACCCCTGTCATTAGCCAGCTCCTGGCAGGTGGGTTTGGTCAGCTGGCAGAGCAGGGTTGAGGCCGAAGGACGAAAGCAAGGCAGAGCGAGCCATAGAAGTTCTTTTCTGCAGTGTCCATTAGTTCCAAAAAGGGGATTTCCATGATCAAAGTCATGGATCTTGTGAATTACTGAGAGTCCCCTCAAAATGTGTCCACATATTCTAAGCAGACCAGCAGGTACGTATTGTTCTGAATTTGGCGTTGAAATTGTATTAGGTTTTTTGGGAGAGGGGATGATTTCTTGAAGACTTTGGTGATTTTTAAAGGTAGAATGTTTGGCAATAGAGAACAGAAATTGGTGAAGACCAAATAGAGACCAGCTTAAATGGTGAAGCAACTTTTATAGTGAGTTTCCTTGTTATGCAGTCATTTTTGGAATGAATTCTGTGGTTTAAGTTACATGGCTGTCTTAGTGGTCTTTTGACTGGGACTTATAAAAGTTTAGTGTAAATTTCCTAAATGGGTCACATCGATAAAAGAAAGATCTTCTCTGACATTGAAGACAGTGAAATCACTGGGCGTCATATTTAATATGTACAATATTGGTACACATAGATGTAACTAATGTTTTAACTGCACAAACTAAAGTGATTCCATCAAAATCAGCATCGCCATGGCCATAGTCAATAGCTACGAATTTAAAAATCAGGTAGTGTATTACTTTCCATCAGTCCAAATAGGTTTGTCATTGTTGCTTCTGGAATGAAATGTAAGTTTGATTGCATTGAAGACAGGATCTGACTTCGCTTCTGATTAATGTGTACCTTATTGAGAAGAAATTGATAGGCAATTTGGTGTAAAACGATGTGGGAATTTTGTAACAAAATCAATCCTACCATTTTGTGTAGACCTGTGATGGATTCTGCAAGGTAGTTTTCATAATTTTTTTTTTCTTTCACATGGCAACAATGTTGTCCCATTTGGGGAAGTTACTTCCGGTAAAATAAAGAGGTTCCGATTCATATAGCGCAGTATTGGGACGGTACATTGCAGAGTCCATTCGGCATCTGGACAAAATGATTAACTGCACAGCACAGATCCCTCTTCCAGGTGTACTCATCCTGTGCCGTAATGCCAGCAAGTACTCTTGTGGGCTGAGAACTGTAGTAGGGCTATAAGCAAAATCATTTAAGTAATAACAGAAGCTCAGAAACTCCTTCACAAGCTACACAGTGTTTGGGAGCTTTTCTTACTTTTGTGATTAAGGTGAATCTCCTTCCGGGTATCAGCCTAAACTGTCTTATCAGAGGAAACAATAAATAGCACCTGCCCTGGGTCCCACCACTGTACTTGGTAAGCCAGGACCACTGAGTGAGTGTTACCCTCCACTGCGCTCCCACTCCAGACTCCTAGCCCCTTCCTGCCTTCCGCATCTCCTCCAGTCTAGTAGGGGGTTATATTTTAGGCATTTTGGCTGCCTTTGGTGAAGATATACATGGTTTGCGGCGATCTGGTGAATGCAAAGGTAAACATTAACGTTTGTGGACTAATTAGAAATTATTAGGTTTTCATGCTTATGGTTATCAGATTATTTCAGAGGGTTTTAAAAGCTGCAGGCATGCCATGATGATAATTAACCTGCAGCTCATCGATGATGATTAAAATTACACACTAAGCTTTATGATGTTTGATTGGTGAGCAATTAGAATGTCGTTTTAACCATGGCAGATACCAAAACGAATTTTGATTTCATTTCCAATCTCGGCCGATCTTTTGATGCATTCTACACTGATCACTTCCTCTCTGATTTAGCTGACAAGATTAAATTTGATTAGAGTCAAGAGAGTATTAAGAAGTGATTCTTCATACTTAATATGCCAGTGACCTTCAATGAGGCCTTTCTTCCAGAAGAACTTTTCAAAAGGAATTGCTAAAATGCTTAGTAACCTGAGTGAGCCCAGAGTTTTGTTTTTTCCTCAGCCCTCTGCCGCTGGGAAGTCGGCAATACATGCAGGGGCATCCAGGGTGAGACACTGCGTGTCTAGCCTGCCCACTATGACAGGTAACAGAATACGGCAAGGCCAAACCCTCTTATATCAGAAATTACCAGCGACCTTGAACGCATTGATACTTTTACATTAAGGGGCTAGTTGCCTTGAAGTGATGAATCCCTCAAATTGCAAGATTTGGGAGAAAATTGCTTAGTTGAGACGATGTCTGTGTCCTAGGCTGAAAATAAACACCCAAGTTTCAGCCCCCTCGGTGGTGTGTACAGTGCCATCATCCTGCAAACCTGGAGAGCTGCAGGACTCAGAAGCTTACACTGTAATCGAGTAGCTATTACAGTAGCTGAGGTTTGTGGGCACACACACACACACACACGCACACACACACACACACACACACACACACACGAGGGCACACATGTTCACACACACTTACACACAGAAGGGCATGTGTTGCTACCAATACATACTCAATCATCCCCTGCTACCTGACCATGCTGCCGAAGCCCGAGATAGCTTTACGGAGGGCGCATCTTGCTCTCAACAAAGGGAGTTTACAGTCTAAGATGCCAGGCTGCAAAAAACAAAAACAAAAACAAAACAGTAAAAAATGAAATCTAAAATAAATGATGGAAGGATTTTCATCAGTCGTGCTTGTGTATGATTTGTTAAGCCAGAGGAGATGCTGATTGAGGCACTAGTTGAGAGATGGGCAGCTCACCAGGATTGATAACATCAAAATGGTATTTGAAATGGTGTTCATTACATAGTGCAGTGAGAAGAAAAAAAAAAAAAAAAGAAGAAAAAAAAAAAAGAAAAAAACACAACGGATGCGATCGTCCCCTAGGATGAGAGGCCTGGCTGCAGTAAATATTAATTTCTGTTCTGCTGCCCATTGAGGTGACTGAAGTGTGGGGAAGAATTGTGATTGGTGCTTAATCAGGGCCAGCCAGATACCTGCTGAGAGCTTTTGCGCAGGGAAGATTTGTAGTAAGCTGATTTACTGGCAAAATGAAAGCCAGAGCAGAGCATGGCCGGCGCTGCCTGTGACTGTCATATTTCTCATTTTAAGGTTCCTTTACGGTCCGTCTCCCTTCCCTCCTCACCCCCCCTGAGAAAGTAAAAGGTAAATATTAAAAAAAAAATTTACAAGTCATTTGCATTGTTCCTTTTTATTCCTGCCTTCGTATGTGAAAGCCATTTCCCTGTCTGTCACGGACAAGGGCCTTTCAGAGCCTTTCCTGTCGGTTCTATATACATTTTCAGAGAAGGGGAATGAGAGAAGCGCGGATCGCTGATATGAATTTCAGATTTATGACGGATGCCCATGGCGACTTCAGAAACACCCAGGGTGTGGAGGCCCGGCTGCCATGGCTCTCTGCGTTATTCTCTCCATTCACACACAGTCTCTGCGTGTGACAGATAGGTGCGCTGGCTTTCAGACCCGCCTTCACCCCCCCACCCCCTCACCTTTGCAGATAGCCAAGTTTACAGCTGCCGTAAATTAGTGATGGGCTATTAGTGAGCGGTGTCATTATTTAATAAAAATGCCTTCTCTCACCTTATTTTTTACCCAGGTCCCTGACAGGCTGGATGAAATGAGATCCCCATGCAGCGATTGCCATGGAAACCTGTGACTCCCCTCCTATCTCAAGGCAGGAAAATGGGCAGAGCACATCAAAGCTGTGTGCGGCAGCCGCGGCGACACAACTTGATAATGAGGTGCCAGAGAAAGTTGCAGGCATGGAGCCTGACAGGGAGCACGGCTCCTCTGCGGCGGATGGCAACCTGAACGCCAACGAGGCCTCAGCCGAGGAGCAGCAGCAGCAGCAGCAGCAGCAGCGAGGCCCCCAGGACGGCTTGCTGGGCCTGGGCCTGGGCCTGGGCCTGGGCAGCGGCCAGCATGCCCCCTCGGGCCCGCAGCTGGCCACAGCCAAGGAGATCCCATGCCACGAGTGCGCCGGCTCCTTCCCCAGCCTGCAGAAGTACATGGAGCACCACTGCCCCAACGCCCGCCTGCCCGTCCTGAGGGATGACCACGACAGCGAGGCCAGCGAGCTGGAGGACAGCGACGTGGAGAACCTCACCGGGGAGATCGTGTACCAGCCCGACGGCTCGGCCTACATCATCGAGGACCCCAAGGAGGCCGGGGGTCCCCATGCACCTGCAGCCACCGCCACCTCCACCTCCACCGCCGGGGTGCACGGCCAGCTGCTCTCGGCCGCCCGCTTCCTGGACTCCCTGGCCGCCGCCGCTGCAGGGGGGGACCAGGGCGACCAGGCGGCCCCCGCCCCGCTGTCCTTCTACCCGCAGATCATCAACACCTTCCACATCGCTTCGTCGTCGTCCCTCGGGAGGCCCTTCCCGGCCGACCAGGCCTTCCCAAATACCTCAGCCTTGGCAGGAGCCGGCCCGGTGCTGCACAGCTTCAGAGTCTACGACCTGCGGCACCAGCGAGACCAGGACTATCTCGCCAGCGACGGCTCGGCCAAGCACAAGTGCGTGTCCAAAGATGTGCCCCCCGGCGGCCCGGACCCGGACCCGGACCCGGACCTGGACCTGGACCTGTCCCGGTTCGACGGCGGCGTGAGCGACGGCCGGAGGAAGCCCGTGCTCATGTGCTTCCTGTGCAAGCTCAGCTTCGGCTACACGCGCTCCTTCGTGTCGCACGCCGTGCACGACCACCGCCTGGCGCTCAACGCGGGCGAGCAGCGGCTGCTGCGCGGCAAGGGCGTCTCCGCCATCATCCAGGGCATCGGCAAAGACAAGGAACCTCTGATCAGCTTTCTGGAACCAAAAAAACCCACCCCCTCCGCCCACCCCCACTTTTCCACCGCAAACCTCATCGGCCCCCCGGACCCGGCCGCCGCCTCCGCCGCTGCCGCTGCCGCCGCCGCCGCCGCCTTCCGCGGCCTCTGGGGCGCGTTCCGCGTGGAGAACGGGGACCCCCTGCCCCCGCCCCCGCCGCCCCCCCAGCCGCCGGGCTTCGCCTTCTTAAAAGGGAGCTCGTCGGGGGGCCTGGCGTCCTCCCTGTCGTCCTCGTCCTCCAGCCCAGCAGCTGAGCTGGGGGTCCCCCCGATGATGCCAAAGGCGGACCCTGCAAACCTGGGGGGGCTGTCGTCCAGCCTCGTCGCCAACACCCCGATTACCTCCGTGTCCCTCGGCCACCCAGCAGCGTCCGAGGCCAGCAAGATGCCCGAGGGCAGCAAAGACCAAGAGAACAGCTGTGAACGGCCCCAGGGGAGCCCCGCGGGGCGCCCGGGCGGTGGCGGCACCGTTACCCCAGATTGCCCGGTCAAGCGCGAGCCCCCCGAGGCGGCCGACGAGGACGAGGAGGAGGAGGAGGACGCCTTCTCCTCCAATGACCTGGACGATGACGAGGAGGCGATGGGCGAACTCGCCGATCACAGTATGGGCCACAAAGATTTCCCGCTCTTAAACCAAAGCATTTCTCCTCTGTCCTCCAGCAGCAGCGTGCTAAAGTTCATCGACAAGGGCCCCCCGTCCTCCTCCTCCTCCTCTTCCTCCTCCTCCTCCGAGGACCCCGAGAAGAAGAAGCAGCAGCAGCAGCAGGCGGCCGCCCCCCGGGCCCATCCCTATGGCCTGGGGGGCAAGGACGGGGCCCCGGAGGCCGGGGGTGCGGGGAAGGACAGCGCCCCGGCCCCTCAGGCCCCCCATCCCTGCGACCCGGGCCGGGGGGCCGCCGAGGAGGACAGCGGCGCGGCCCCCCCTCACCAGCACCACCACCACCCCGGCTTCGCGCCCAGCGCGCCCGGCACCCCGGGGCCCGGAGGCGGGGACGGCTCCCCCGGAGGCGGCGGCGGCAGCGGCATCGAGTGTCCCAAGTGCGACACGGTGCTGGGGTCCTCGCGCTCCCTGGGCGGCCACATGACCATGATGCACTCCAGGAACTCGTGCAAGACCCTCAAGTGTCCCAAGTGCAACTGGCACTACAAGTACCAGCAGACGCTGGAGGCGCACATGAAGGAGAAGCACCCGGAGCCGGGGGGCTCGTGCGTGTACTGCAAGACCGGCCAGCCGCACCCCAGGCTGGCGCGCGGCGAGAGCTACACGTGCGGCTACAAGCCCTTCCGCTGCGAGGTGTGCAACTACTCCACCACCACCAAAGGCAACCTCAGCATCCACATGCAGAGCGACAAGCACCTCAACAACGTGCAGAACCTGCAGAACGGCGGCACGGGTGAGCAGGTGTTCGGCCACGCCGCCGCCTCCGTATCGGCCCCCAACGCCGGCCTGGGCGGCGGCTGCGGGACCCCGTCCCCGTCCAAGCCCAAGCAGAAGCCCACCTGGCGCTGCGAGGTGTGCGACTACGAGACCAACGTGGCCAGGAACCTCCGCATCCACATGACCAGCGAGAAGCACATGCACAACATGATGCTCCTGCAGCAGAACATGAAGCAGATCCAGCACAACCTGCACCTGGGCCTGGCGCCGGCCGAGGCCGAGCTCTACCAGTACTACCTGGCCCAGAACATCGGCCTGACCGGCATGAAGCTGGAGAGCCCCGCCGACCCGCAGCTGATGCTCAGCCCCTTCCAGCTGGACCCGGCCACGGCCGCCGCCCTGGCCCCCGGACTCGGTCAGTACTCCCTGTTTTTCTCCTCTCCCGTTAGCTCCACTAGCTTCCCAGTCTGAGTTAGTGGGATGCACCCAGGGGGAGGGGTGAGTGCAGACAAATGGGGGACAGCCTCTTGGAAGGGAATCTCTCTCTTGGCTGATCATCAGGCCACTGGGGCCTCCCTTCAAACCTGAATTAAGTCGAAACCGGTTTGGCTCAGTGGATAGAGCATCGGCCTGCGGACTGAAGGGTCCCGGGTTCAATTCCGGTCAGGGGCATGTACCTTGGTTGCGGGCACATCCCAGCAGGGGATGTGCAAGAGGCAGCTAGCTGATAGATGACTCTCTCTCATTGATGTTTCTAAGTCTCTATCTCTCTCCCTTCCTCTCTGTAAAAAATCAATAAAATAAAATAAAAAACAAACAAACAAACAAAAAACCTGAATTAACTCCATAGGGGTCCAGGGCAGCCCGAGAGGACTTAGCAAACTCTGTCTTCTTCATCCAGCAGCTCAATGAACAAACGTGCATGTGCCCGCACTGCCTGCCATTATTCGCTGTGACCCTGGCGAGGTTTACGGCTCTGATTTTTGGCAGTTATTCCCTCACATATCAAGCTCGCGCTTCCAAAGGAGAGACCGTTATTTTTAATGAAATATTAGTGAAAACCATTTCCGTGCCTGTGATGGGAGGTAATTAGACCGCTAGCAGTCCTATGCCCTTACCTTCTCCCAGGTATTTGGCAAGAGATCCCCGCCCGCCTAAGGTATTAGCCAGATCTCATCAGGCCTCAGACGAATTGCGAAACGGCAATTAGTGCTTATTATGCAAGTTTATCTGGGCTCTTCCATCGCCAGCACGTGGCTGTTTGTTATGGTATCGATCACCCTCCTGCCCTCGAAAATACAAATTTCAGAATGACATCATGCCCGGTAGGAGTAATTAAAGCTATCTGGTAAGGGCATTTAGAAGTTGAAAGGGATGATTGTAATTGATCCCGATCCAATCCTATTACAGCTTTTTTTTTTTTTTTTTTTTTTTTTGGTTTAAGCTCTAGAGAAAGCACATTCCCGGTCAAAAGACTTTTGTTTTACAGATCCCTTTGTGTGTGTATGTGTGTGTGTGTGTGTGTGTGTGTGTGTGTGCGTGCTGTGTTTTCTAGCGTCTATTTTTCCTCTTAATTTTTTTTTCTTCCTGTAGTAAATAATGAGCTGCCGCCTGAAATCCGGCTTGCCAGTGGTCAGCTAATGGGTGATGACCTGTCCCTCCTTACTGCAGGAGAGCTGTCACCTTATATCAGTGACCCGGCATTGAAGCTCTTCCAGTGTGCTGTGTGCAACAAATTCACCTCTGACAGCCTGGAGGCCCTGAGCGTGCATGTGAGCAGCGAGCGCACCCTCCCCGAAGAGGAGTGGAGGGCTGTAATTGGAGACATCTACCAGTGCAAGCTCTGCAACTACAACACGCAGCTCAAAGCCAACTTCCAGCTCCACTGCAAGACCGACAAGCACATGCAGAAGTACCAGCTGGTGGCTCACATCAAGGAGGGAGGCAAAAGCAACGAGTGGAGGCTCAAGTGCATCGCCATTGGCAACCCCGTCCACCTGAAGTGCAACGCCTGCGACTACTACACCAACAGCGTGGATAAGTTACGCCTGCACACCACCAACCACAGGCACGAGGCAGCCCTGAAACTCTACAAGGTAAGGGGACCCGGGGGTGGGGAGGGGATTTAACTGTTCAGAGCTTGGAGCACCAGTCTGCAAGTTAAGGAAAAAAAAAGAGAGAGAGAGAGAGAGAGAGAGAGAGAGAGAGAGAGAGAGAAGGGCAAGGAACACAGTGTCTGCTGAGTGTTATTACATGTCATGTTGAAATCTAGGCACCGGGAGGATGTATTTGAAAGACTGGCTCTCTGCCTCTGTGATATCTCTCACAGTGGCATGGATTGCTTTGCCGTTTTCTCCCAAATAAAATACCTTTCCTGAGTATTTTCATATGCAAAAGAATGCTGTGTAATTGACTGGTTTTTAAAAAAGGCGTAGTGTACCACTCATAGCTAAATGTGAACGGTTACAGGGAGCAGAGGACAAAAATAGTGCTACCTCGTGCCACCTTTTGTTTGGCGACAGGGTGACTCTGTGTACGCATTTTTGCTTTTTCTTTCAAGTACCTAGGGTATTGAGGAAACACACTCTCCCTTAGCATCAGCTGAAAGTCTTCTGAATGCTGTTGTTATTTTGCATGATTCCCCCCCCCCCCCAAGCTAGAAATGTTTAATCCCCTCCGTGGATGTGGCAGGGATAAAAATGCTCATTCAAAGGCAAATCATACTTTTATCTGATGCTGACGTAATGAATCCATGCACATGAGGAACCCCATGGATTGCACAACTTGTCTTGACTTTTTTTTGTAAATCCCGATGACTGGTTAATTTGTTTTGAGCAGCTGGTGGACTGGTTTGGCTTGATTGTCTTGGTTCATGTAACACGTGGAACAGATTCCTTTCTGTGATGAATAACTGGGTAACTTATTAAGAACTTCTTTTGTCTAGAGGACATTAAAATTCAGAAAATATTGCAGACCATTCGTCATTGTAACAAGCTCTAACTATGATTACAAAATCCATTTTGCAAGTGTTACCTATTGATTTACACCAGGAATCAGGGGTAACTATACTATCAGGAGTGATTGTACATACCATCTACTAGTGATTGTAACACCCACGACCTTTCTAACACTGCTTCAAACTATACACACAGGAGGAGCAGAGTGGACTGTAGTCTAGAGCATGAGCAGGAATTATTCCTTTGGGTCAGCCTGGCACTGTTGGTTGAGGTTGTTTCTGGAAGATCCAATTCTAGATAGATGTACAGAGTGTAAAACCTGGAAGACGTGGTGCGAGCATGTGTAAGGTTCCTGTGATGGTGGCACTCTGCGGATCAATAATGAAAGCATTAGATTTGGGTTACACAGTTTGAGGGAAGTTCAGGTTTTGATGTAATACAGAAAGCTTCTAAGTTGATGGCATTGAAGATATAATCCAAGAATTAATTGTAATATCATTCATAGGTTTTACAGCAATGGTTGACAGCCGTTCAACTGTCAACTTTTTTTTTTCCCCTGTTGCTACCTGACCTATTAAAACTTTTAGAATTCCGAAGAGAGAAAAAACAAACAAACAAACATTAAGTTTGTATAAATAATAGATCTCAACCCTGGGAGCGCTAGATAGAATATTCATAAGCTGGGTTTATGTTCACGCAGCCCCTCAAACACTTGAAAGGAACATGTTGCCAAAAGAAGACATAAATGTACAAATTTTTCTGTTTTATTAATCCCGTGTGGGAAGCTCCAGAGAAGCAAAGTGGCACGGTTTATTTTCTCAGGGAAGGTGGTTTAATCTAATTGTTTGGTGATTATATGGACCTGTGTGTTTTAAGTTTTTCCATTCATTCCATGGGTGTGACTTGACACCACTCACTGTCTGCAGAGCAGTTTGCGGGAGCCAGAGCTGGTCTGGCAGTTCCTTTGAAGGGAGAGTTGGATATTGTCTTTGAATGGCTAACAACCCAAGGAGCCAAGCCCTTGTTTATAAAGAGAGCTTTCAAGCAGAGAGAACTTTCCGTCTCAGAGCCAAAGGGTATCTATGTCCTCTTACCTTTAAAATGTTATGTCAAATACAAAAATTTCCCCCAACTCTTCTTTATTGGCTTATCTCTTAAATACCCAAGTTCCCTGATACTGTAAGTGTCTAAAAATGATCAGTCACTAAACAAACATACTTTGAACAAACTTACCTTGAATTAAAATAAGATTGAACAGAGAAATATTTGAGCGGTTGCAACTTGATACGGGACCATTGGACTACATTTTTCTTTTTTCATCATCCTTCAAGGGGCATTCCTTATTTCTGGTCATTGCAGGATAGTGATGTGTTGAGGATGCCATTTCTAATATGAGTTACAAAGACCAGAGGCAGTGTGCATCAGATAGAAAGAGAGCGTTTTCAAGTGCGGTAATAACTTCAGCAAGCTTGGTCAGCTTGTGCGAGCAAAATAAAATTGCTTCATAAGTAACATTAATTGCTTTTAAATAAGAAGCTAACAAATTGGCCAGGACCTGGGAAAAAAAAAATGATGGTTTGTAATTTGGCTAAAATATTAAAATTAGACTTAAAATAGTTTCGGAGTTAATGATTAGACTCTAATCTCCTACGTAAAATTTATTTTCATTAAGAGCCTAATTTACATAATTCCGCTTCGGGAATTAGTTAGACTTTGTGGAAAAGTGACAGTAGCAGTTATAAGGCAAAGGCAGAGCGGTGAAAATTCAGCTTTTCTTGTTATTGACAACATATTGATTGACAACACTTTAAACGTGGTCATGTGTCAGTTCGATTTGAATGGGCTGCCTCTTGCTGTATTACCTCAAAGAAGTGTGTGTCCTCATTCCCGTTAAAGGAGGTTAAAGGTTAAAGGTTAAGGGTGAGCGTAAAAGCATCATCTGCCTAGCTGCTTAACTTTAAACTGATCAGTTTAATGAAAATCTGTTTTACAGATGTTGTTTTAATGTATTTGGCAGGATTTAGGCAGCTTTAACATTAGACGTATGCTAGTAAAAATTATTTCTTTATTTGACCAGAACAACACCTTTCCTTTTATGTTTAAGGTAGAAGGCTTGTGGGTTATGGTATTTTGGCAAAGAACCCAGAGGCAGAATGTGTTGATGATTTTTCCATATGGACTCAAAAAAAAAAAAAATACCTTCATGTCTATTGCTAATGATGGCTACAAAAACAAGCAAAGCCGTCTTCATTTTTTTGGCAGTATTATTTTCCTGAGAATCTCTCTTTCTTTTCTTTGTTTTTCCCCCCAAAAAGAGTTGTGTGTGTGTGTGTTTCTTCAAGCAAAAATTTCTGAAGTGCTGTGTTGATTTCCCCCCAGAAATTTCCACGATGAAGCAAAATTGGCCTGGGAAATTAAAACAATAAAATGAAACTGCAGCTCGCTCTTAATCTTCTCTGAGCGTGTGAAAGTGTATTTAAAGTGAGGTTAGCACCCAATGCCTGGAGAGCTCAGTCCGGGGTGCAAGGGGAAAAGGGGGTGTATCTGTGCCCATTTCCGGCTCTGTATCCAATGCAGGAGCAGTGTCTCAGCTCACCACTTCATTACATTTGACCATACTCCTCCGATTCACGCCTTTGCATCTCTACAAATTTTTGTCAGTTGATATTGACAGTCAGTCCTCAATAAATATTTGTAGGATGAATAGCAGGCTAATGAATAAGCTGGAAAATGTTTTAAAAAAACTCCTTTAAAATGCATTGCAATTTGGTCATCCCTTTACAAGATCCCAAACTTTTTTTTTTTTTAAAGCCCAATAAAAAGATATAATGAAAAACCACTTAGCAGTAGACATTCAAGGTGCAAAGGAACCAGTAAGACGTGGGCGATATTTCCGATTTCCAGTTTCACTTATTCTTGGCTCAGAGTGGCCCAGAGGTTCCTGGCCAGCTGATTACTCTCCCCACAGCCCCCAACCTCTGCGGGACTCCCCACGCCTGCGCTGGCACAGCTCTTAGGATAGGCTATGTATTTGTAAGCGAGGTGTTCACAGCTTTGCTTGTTCAGAGTCAAAAGCTGAATTGTCCTGGCTTTTTTTTTTTTTTCCTGCCCGCATCTGCTAGAAGTGAAGCAGAATAGTCTGTCTGATTCCATAATGCTGTTTTCATATTTGGGTTTCAATTTGGCTGAGAGCAGTCAATGAATCTCTTGTCTCCATGGTGAGCAGAGAAACACACGTGGGGCTGGGTCCTAGGTAACTTTCAGTGTAACATTCCCCCAAGGAACATTTTTGGAGTTTTCTCATTATCCGTGTTACGGATGAAAGAATCCGGGTTAAGAACTAAAATCCAGATGTGGGGGAGGGTCACAGAGGAAACTGCAAGGAGCCACGTTGGCAAAAGTGTGTGGCAAGGAAATAAAAATGGAATAATTAGCCTCACCTACCTTTTTCTTTCCTCCTCCTCCTCCTCCTCCTCCTCCTCCTCCTCCTCCTCCTCCTCCTCCTCCTCCTCCTCCTCCTCCTTCTTCTTCTTCTTCTTCTTCTTCTTCTTAATGATAAAAGGAAATAATAACCTGATCAGTTTGGAATTAACAAAGGACCCCAAGGTTTTTTTCCTTTCAATAGGCCAGAGTCCAACTTTGCAATTTAAAATCAAACACCCCAGATATGTACCACTGCAATTATGGAACTGTCATTGTCCCAGTGTGATGGTAAGAGGTCAGGAGATTGTGTGGGATGCATTTGCATAAAAGTCATTGTGCCGGAGGAAATTGGAATATGTGTGTGTATCTGAGGAACCAAAACAGGTTTTCCTCAAACTGACTCTACTCATTTGTTTAGATGAAGAAAGCTGTTTTCAGAGATAAACAAAAGTTATTCTTTTCTGTTGCTAAAACGTAAACCTGAATGTGGAAAATTGTGCACTTTTTATATTAGTTTCTGATTTATGTTCCTCTCAAGGTTGAAATGCAGTGTGAAATTCAATTGCAAGTTGCAGGATTTATTTAAAAAAGTAATCACAGTCCGAGTTATTTTATTGTATTCTCATGTAGAAAACCAAGGCATAGGTTGAGAAAACAGTCTCCATAATAGAACAACACCTGCTTGCATAATACCGAGGACGAATAAATACACAGAT